CTTATCAGTGGAATACAACCGCCGGCATGATATTCAATGGAATGGTATTTTTTCAAGATATTTTGTCTTTCATAAATTTTTGTTCCAAAAATAAAATCTTAATGATAGTTCTGTTTGTTTAATCACAAATTTTGAACCACTTCAACTCAATATATAAATATCATTCTTAAAAGGCTATGTTAAAAAAAAATCTTACGAGTACTTTTCTTTTCAAGCTGCTTTTTACAAATTGAGAGCATTGGTTCTGATAGGATTTGCATTATTGCTTAGTCATTCTTCTAATTGAAGACCTCCATAAATGTTTGATTTATATCTGTGGGAGCAGTTGTGGTTTTTCGTCTTTTAGGTATTGGCACAAAAACAAATATTATGGAAATATCTATTCCTCGCAAATTACGAAAATACTGTAAATAACTTAAATCGCGTTTTTAAGCATTGTATTGACGTTTACTCTTTGAATTTTTTTTTATTACAGCTGTGTAATCTATTTTGTGCATTTTAACTTTAGGCTTATGATTTCTTACCGAACAGAATGAAACTACTAAACTAAATTGCCGACTATTCTCAGTAGTATAACTTCACAATTGATCGTATCTCCATTTAATATATAGTTTCTTTTCTTTAACACTTCATACCTAACTGGTTCGTCAAAGGCTCGCAAACCACTGTTGCAGTAACTCGGTCAAGGCTATGGGTGAAACTTCTCGATGTTTATCTCAGTTCAAAGTTCGATTCAATTCTTCTTGGTTTGGGCAAGCTATGAAACTACCAGTAAAGGCGCGTTAAGTTAGGTAAAATGTCTTTATCTTTGTATTTCTTCTATAAATTTACCGTAATAGTTTGTTCATCGACTCGTCACCCCACAATTCCAGTCAACTCGTTTGATAAACGTTTTGAATTTTAACACACTTAGTCGTATTTGCTAATTGAACTGTAATTTGTCTTATTTTTGTTTCGCCCAAGTGATATTTGCCATGAGATTGTTATATTTTTTGTCTCTGAAAAGATATTTGCTTTGAAAAAAATATTCAAATGATTAATTTTTTAAAGGAACTTAAGGAGGACAATTTATTTTTCATCATGAAGCACGCGAGGTTTACAGCCTTCTAATCTGATCAATCGAGCGATTCTAAATATTTTTGAAGCAGTTGTTGTCGCTTTTCTTGTTGTTATTGTTTTTCAAAAAGAGTATTTCCTACTTGAACCTGGAATTCAACTCATTTCAAAAGCTTGTCCCTGTCTTGTGATCGGAATGAAAATAATGCTTTTTAGATTTTCTTGAACTCATAAAATACGAGGTCAGTATTTGCACGGACATATTTGATGATAGATTTATGTATGGTCAAAAATGATGAAAAATGGTCCTCTTAATGACAAGATATCCTTCCTTTTTAGGGTCATTGCTTTTTTTTAATTGTCATGTTTTCAAAGTTGAGGACAAATTATACGTTATTACGTTTTGACTGAGATAAGAGAAAAAAATCAATCCTCAGTTGTGTTGTTAAGATGAGCCATATTGTTTTATATGAATCAATTTTCATCTAATTCTCTTCCGGATTTTTAGCGTTTTCTCGCAAAAACTAAAACAATTGGAAAATTATTTGATATTAAGCTTCAAAGGAAGAGTGTTTCCGTACTTACTGAGTGAATGCCACATAGCAACAGTATCCAAAACAAACTGCTCTTTAGCACAGAACGATACCCTGTCTCAAAAGAACAAAAATGGAATGACTTAACAATTTTGTTGATGTCGTGCATGAAGTATCCGTTTAAGACACTTCTAGATCTCACGAAATACTTGAATTCAAGGGTGCGCCAACATAACGTACGTCTTGAAACACTTCCTATTTCAGGGATTTTTTTTAATTCGTGCAGAAGGAAAAATCTAGAATAGAGATATGCTTTTTTGGGGGATTCTTGCTGAAGTGGAAAGACCACGTGGAGCCCCTTGAGCAACCTAGTTGTAAAGGTTTTTGGACGTTATTAAATGGCTGCTCCTATCTCAAACCCTTTGAAAAAATGGTATTGGAAGACAATTGTCTGCCTAAGTTCACCGCTTGCAGCTGAAAATTCATCTCCCAGCCTCAGTGCAGCGATTCAGTACCTGACCAGAATCGAGTTATTTCCATTAGCGACTACTGTTGAACTATTTGGTCCGAAATGAAGTTAGACATGTGTTTGACACCACTTAATATAACTCTCGCTCTTCAGTGAAGCAGACTTCAGTCGCCTCACTAAGCTAACTTCAATTTACTTCGTAAACAAATCACTGTTGGGCCTAAAACATCGATTCTTTGCTAAATGTACAGTTTCTTGTAGATAATCTATGGGTAGTTTATAAACCTGTGAGTACTGTATTAGAAAGCTATTATCCGGCTTAGCATTGGGCAGGCAGCTGAAAATTCAGCTCCCAGTGTTGACATGGTGGTGACCCATCCAGATTCAACGGATTGCTATGAGCGACAACTGTAATGAAACGTATTCATCAAAAAAACTGCACTATTTCGTATGAAATGAAGTCAGATATATGTTTGAAACCACTTGATATGACTGTCGCTCTTCATTGAAGCAGACTACAGTCGCCTCGCTAAGCTAAGTTTAATTTACTTCGTAAACAAATCGCTGTAAGATGAAAAACATTGATCCATCGCTCAGTGCGGTTGCTTTAGTTATGAAGGAACAGAAAAAATTTTCGTCTTAGAAGAAAAAAACTTCAATGCAGCAATATTTAGTAGCATTATTACACTGTTTTTTAGTTGCATTAGTCTTGCACTGCTTTTAGTTCGAAGCATTTGCGATATAACTCTGGTATGTGATATCTAAACCAACCGATCTTAACTTTTGTACAAAAAAACAATATCTGAAAAAGGAACAAGCTCAGTATGTTTTTTTTTTTTGTTGAGGATATTGTGAGAATAAAAGAAAACTAAGACCTCCTCTCACCCCATGGAAGGTTCTTGCAAAAACATGTTTGTCATCTCCTGAAACTTACTCTACATCATGTTTGTGGCTAGATTGGGGCTGAAAGCATTTGAAATTCAATAATTCTAAACAGTTGCAGATGAAAAGATTATATTTTTTGACAGTAAATCAAACAACCAATTCTGAGCCCATTCGTAAAAGAAAACGTCAATTTTGTGTATTTGCATCAACCCTTCAGTTAAGTACTCCGTGAAAGCAGATGGAAGCATACAAATTCTCCATTCTAGACCTGTATAGTTCCTACAGTCCTTGTGGGAGAATTTATATATTGAGATGCTCTCGTGACCTGACAGTGCAACTTTGTATATTGGTGACATAAGTAAAATTGGATAACGATCCCCTTTTAAGGCCTTAATGATTAGAGAACAAAGCCACAGAACAAAAAGGCATTAAATTCACTTTCCCTAGCCTTAATGGCAAAAGCCTTTTCTAAAGACAAAAATGGAATCGATGTGGTTTACCGTCTGCTGTCAAATGAACTCTTATGCTCTCAAAGCTTAGTTTTGATATCCGGTAGCTTTTAAGAAATACTTCCATTTGGGCTGTAAAAAGCAATATTTGCCTCAGGTTTCCGGAATTTAGAATACTCCATCTTTAGCCATACTCGAATCACACCCAATATTTTCAAAACTGTGCAACAGCGCACCTTTAGAATAACTTGACTAGTTTTAAGGGCAATAAATGTTCTCATTGAGTGTTCATCCTCTATTCTTGCTGGCAAAATCTCACATATAGACTACCTGTTTATTTAGTTTCAATTCTGCAATTACTCTCGCGATAATGCTATCGATTTGTTTAGTTTGTGTAAACTTCCGTGACATACTTTGAATTTATGGTGTTGGTGATACCAACTAAATATTACCTTTAATCGTTTACCAATATCATCTTTTATCGACGTGCGTACGTGATTTTTCTTTTTAACCCTACACGAACGTCTATAAATTTCTCATTTGACTCGAATGTTCCCTTTTTTTTAATTTCTCACGAAGTGTACATTGCATGGATTCTGTTTATCAGCCATCACGAAATTTATCTTTTCGGTTGATAAATATTCGTATGCGAGCCGAGTAACGCTTTGTTCCTGTTGCGTGCGGAGATATCAACAAAGTGAAAGCACTTTCTAACTATCTCTCGCAGCTGGATCAGGATATTCCTGACATCTGAGTGCGGTCTCATAATATACAACGTAGTTATGAAGTAATTCTGAGATCATTTTAACGTTAAATATTAAAACGATGTTAACGTAGTGAGCTGGGCACGAAAATTTGAAATTATTAAATAACACAGAATTAAAGGCAATGAATTAGGGGTTTATTTTGAAATCAAGAAAAAATAACCTTGTTACTATTTCTAGAATTCATTAACGCGGAAAAAACGTGCGAAAAGTCATTCTTTGTTTCCTGGATTTAAATGCCAGACTTGTAATTTTCTAGACAATGCACTAATTAAATGGATAAAACCAAGTAAAAGATCAAAATATACACACTTTTTAAAGCACTTATCGCATTCGGTTTAGTGATGTTGCTTACGAATGATAAATAGATTACCCACGAGGGGGGATTACTCGGAAAATAGGGGCAAAGACTACAAACACGCAAGCCAGCCAAAACAATTCTCAAAAACTCCTGTTGTGTTAATCTGCGTCTTAGGAAAAGTAAAAAACACAAAATTAAATTGAAAAATGTTGTCATCCGAGTTTTTCCATTGACGGGGATGTTGAGTGGTACCCATGCGTGCAACCCCGGGGATCACATTCTTGTTCCCACTTCAAATATAAACGCTATAAATATTCTCCGCATGTGGTCGTAATGTTGCAATTCCCACGATTATCCACCTCTCCGTAAGAACAAAAGACCGCTCGAAAGTTGCCATATTGGCTCGGTCACGTGATAGCCTGGCCGAGCGTTTATAAACTGAAGCGCTAAGAGCGAACGTTACAGTGCCTTGAAAAGCAGTCTAAACACTACTTGACTGAGATATCTGTACTGAAAGTTGTCTGTTATTGCTTGTTCATCCAGGAAATTACTTGCAGAAAAACCATGTCAGCGTTTAGTCCTGTATCGAGCTACGAGAAAGCCTCAGATTATTTTCCGTCTGTGCCATCTGTGAGCACAGTAACATGGCCCAGCGCTGTTCCAACAGCGTTTGAACTTGGACCGTGGTACTCGTGGGGGTTACCACACTCCAAGCTGAACTGTCACGGTCCTCCCGCACCAGCAGCCGTCGCCCCGCTCGATTACACAAGCTTCTGGCCTACAGTTCCTTCCTTGGGAAGCTGCGGTTTCTTCCTCCCCTCGGGAAGTTCCTTAGCTAGGTCGTACGAGAAACCTAGCCAGTCGTACATTGGGCTCATTGCAGAAGCAATCCTTGGCTCACCGGAGAAGAAACTTGTCCTTAGTGACATTTACAGCTATATCCTGACACGGTATCCATACTTCAGGACCAAAGGAAGCGGATGGCGAAACAGCATTCGCCATAATCTCTCTCTGAATGACTGCTTTATCAAAGCTGGTCGCAGTCCAAACGGTAAGGGACATTTCTGGACGATTTGTCCGATGTACTACGAAGATTTCTTACATGGGGACTACCGCCGAAGAAGGTCTGGTAAATGTCTCAAGCTGGATCTGAAATCAGAGCGACTCCTAAGCGATTCACACCGTTACTTTGCACTTTTTAGCGAAGAACCAAAGCCGAGTGTGCTCTCTCAAAGGGAAACATCTCCACCGAGATATGAACAACACGAAAGAGACGTACACAGAGAAAGAGAGATTGATTGTGAAACAGTCGAACAATCTTCTTCTGAGCATGAAAGAGAACGAAGAAGAGGTAGCTTTGACGTACAAAGCTTACTTTCCGCTCAAGTTTAAGATAGAACAAAGAGATGAATTAGGGGCGAGAACATAATTTATATCTAACGTCTGGATTATGATAATTTAATTTTATGTATTTAGTATCTGACAAAGTTGAATTCAGAGAATTCAGGCTACATATTATCTCAGAAAAAGGTTTGCCAGATTCTGGTGGAGTAATATGATGAAGTATGAATAGGGAAAATTGGAACAAGACATTCCGTCTTTCGTTCTGAGTCTGTTATCGACGGCGCACTTTTGTGTTGCGTGCGTACTATTGATATTAATTCATGAACACAACTTGAAAACCGCAAATTGCATTTGTTTATGTAAGTTTAACGATCGCGCGTATTGTCTTTTAATTCCGGTCTATTCTAGGCTAGAAATCATTATTTGTATTATAAAAAAAAATTAAGATTATCATGTTATTACATGGTTGACAGCTTGTGAGCTATGTATTGAAGAATGGGGAAAAGAAAATTAAAAAAATACGTGTAACAGAGAGCATTTTGACATTGTTTTGTTTTTAGTGAGTTCAATATAGTCACTAATAGAGACATGAAGCGACTTTGAACACATGACAGGCTTTGCTGTTGAATATTCTTGAACATTGGTACCATAGATTTATCCTGTTATTCTCAAGGATAAACTTTTCTGCTTTACAAAGCCTTTTGTCTAGCTAATTTCCCAACCAAGTGAGAGTTTGCAAAATTGTAGAGAGCTTTAAAAAGATTACTACAACCCACTAAATCGAGTTTATCAACAGAAGACCTAGCTATGTATCAACATTGGTCGAGAAGTTTTACAATGTTGAACAGAATAGTGTTCTTGAAAACGTTTTAAGACGGGGGAGATATTTTTATCGCGTCAAACACCAAGGTTTTGGACAATAATCTTCCCCATCTCTCCTGTCAACTAAGAATCTGAGAGGTATAGCTCCATGCGCATGAGCAATGTGACTTCTACAGCCTCGTTTTCGTTCTTATTGCCATTTCTTGCACGAGGTTTCTAAATTAGCAGAATTTGAGATTAGGTGATTAAGGTATGTCACTTTCCTTGAAGGATTTCCTTTAAAGCTTTGTGATTTACTTTTTTCAACTGGCTCAGAGGATTGATGAGATGACAGGAAACTGAAATGCTACGTCGACAGGAAAGTCAGAGGGCTAAGCGCATAAGCTGAAGCTGTCAGTAGTTTATCGTAATCCTTAAAGTAATGTGGCCTAAAGGATCGCTTATAAAGATGCCCTGTTCATTTAACCCCCTCGTCCTCGCTAAGAGGTTATAATCAAGACGTGGTTTATTTTAGTTTCCAGCTGAGCTTAGAAAACCAGCACACTGCGGACATTCAAAACGTCAATGTATTTTCTCTTGTTAAAAAACCGGTTTACGGTCTTGACATGAAATATCATCAGTAGCCTATTTTTAGTCAAAATTGCCTACTCATGTTACCTTTTAAACATATAGTTGATAATTACTTACTTAAGTAACTTAGTTCTTACTACAAGGTCCTGTATCATGCCCAGGTGTAGTTTTGATTGACAAAGGAATTTCAAAACAATATGAATTGACCTGTAGGGGACATCAAAACACGGAACAGTATTGAAATTTTACCATACCGAGTAAAACTTAGTTTCAAGGTGAATGCACTTAGTTTAAATGTTTAGTGTACTAGCAAACGGTTATTAGATGATGCGGTTCTTAGTTCGTAGGATGAAGAAGTCTCTTATCTCTCCATGTCATTTTAAGTTGTTTGTCACCTGAAATATTTTTCAGTCAATAAACTCGGTTTTAGTTCATCGGGTTCCTTGCGTGATGTAAATTACCTCCCGCACAACCAAAGAATATTCAAACCTTAGTCTTCAGAAAGATCGATTTCATTTTACATGCATGCTTAAGTTAATGAGCTCGTTAACACTCGCAAAGAAAACGGTTACCTAAGTATTATTTCGCGTGAAATCTGAGATCATGAAGACTCTATGTTGATATATCGCATAGTAGTTCTGTAAGAAATATTGAAAACTTTCTATTTAATCCCTCTTGAAAGGTCGTGTAATATTAGCTTGGGTCACTACTTCAGATCGTGAAAAGGGTGGGAAAGGGTGGGGTATTAGATGCTTAACAAGAGTTTGAAGTACCGAAGGCCTTAAGACTTGTGAACGAAAAGCAAAAGCAATGGCATATAACTAACAAAACCACAGAAACCAGATCATAAACTCTCTGAGAATCTGCTACATGTTTAATTACTCGTAAGTCTAGAAAATTCATTCCAGACCAATCTATTACTAACACATTTAAGTGGCCTTTCACAAAGTACGCTGCATAAGCCAGTATTCACTTCCTATCGCAGGAAACTTGGCCCAACCTCCCCTTTTTTCATCTTTCCTCTTTAAGGGAAACCAACGGGCGGTTCACGGTCAGCCTTTCCGCATTGAGGTTTAATTTCCGAAATACAGGCCAGCCTCCCTGTGACCGACCACCTTAAATGGTAGTTATGGAGGTCGCTTTCATGCAGGAGGCAGAACTATAGGGGGCAATTATTGTGCCATATTTTGTAGTAGTTTCAATTGCTTTCTCCTAACATAAGTGTGTCCTTTCCAGAAGTACTC